ATTGCTTTACCACTTAGGATTGTTTTTAACTATCCAGAGTAAACCCTGTGAGGGTCGTGTGTCAACTTGAAGTAAGCAATATACTGATATAGTCTATCAGTCTGATTTTTACCAAGTTGATTACAAGAGATGCTTTATCTCGGTTGTTTAAACTCATTCCATAGTTTAAATTGCGCTAATAAAAATAGTAAAATTATTTAAAAAAATGTAGATTGGAATATAGAATAGAATAACCAAAGAAAATGAAAAGTTTAGTGTAATCAATAGAAATAATTACTGCATAAAGTAACATAGAATGGAAAGTAAGTTAAGTTGAGAAAACAATATTTTTATAAACATCCGTGTTTAATTAGCTCAACTTATATGACAGCGGATGTATTTGAGTGCCAGTTGAGCGATGATAGTGTTTACCTCTTCTATACTTGGCGGTAGCAGCAGTTGATATCATGTATATATATTAATTTAGCCTCTAAGTCTTCTGTCAGTTGACCAAAAGCAACTAAATTTTTTACAGGACATACAACTTGCAAGTTTCTGCAACATTTTTGCATTTTATGCTAAAAAAACGAATTTTCTACTTTGCAACATACTTAATATTAGTAATATTAGTATATTAATATTAGATTATTTTTTTTATATCCCTTTTTAAGTAGAATTTCTGTGCAAACTTTTTATTTTTTTCTTTTTTTTGTACTCTACTGACTCATAGTCTGTCCAACAGTATGTACTGGATTAACCAACTCATTTTAGCCTGAAGCTTGAATCTCATATTTCTATTTATAATTTAGTTCTTCTTCAAATAGCAATCATTCTTGAGCTGATTTTCAAATTTTCTTTTCAGCGAAGAACTTAATAATATTGTTAACCAGTTGACAAACAATCAAAACGATGACGAAGGCAAATAAATTTATACGGATAGATGGCGTACAAACGGTGAAATGAAAACAATATACAATAATGTCATAACCTACGAGAAATATAATTTGTAACTCTTAACTATATAAAATATATACAAATATACAAGTACATACACATATATAAAAAATAGTGCAAACTGCAATATACAAGCATAAACATACAAAATGGCAACATGGATATATGTATTATTTATAAATAGACAAACTCTGGCGTTTAATTTCAAATGGGCTGGATTGAGATTAATGTTAGAGAGATCTATGCAACTTTAGTTATTATTTGTTTGCTGTATATAGAATATTTATGTAATAACTTATTCACTATTGCATACTTTATTGTAGCTTTGTCATTCGTATCTATAAAATATAAATTTCACTAATTAATACTATAATATATACATAATAATATATATATAATAATATATATAATATATATCTTAAAACTTACAACTGTGTAACAGACATTATTATTCAAAATAAAATGGAATTGTTTAAAATGATTGTAACTGTATAAAATATTTGTAGCGAATAAGTTAATAAGTTTAAAGAATATTTTTATTTATTATAACACATATAAAAATATTTAAATAATAGGAAATGGTGTAATAAATTAAACCTCAAAGGAGACGAAATCTCATATTAATATACATTATTAAATATTGCTATAAATAATATAAAATATATACGACGCAAATAAATATTTATATAATAAATATATATATGTACTGCATACAATAAAATATGTTATATTTATATATAAAAAAATATATATACATTTATATATAATACTTTAGAGAGAGTTTGCAATAAAATGCGTTAAACAAAATATAACGAGTTTTAATTATCTTTTATTTGAGTAATAAATTAAAATTATGTTTGAAATTTAGATATATAGAAATAAATATAGATTAAGGAAATCAGATTATACTTGCATGATAGTTATACAAATAATAGAAAATATTCCTACCACATAAAAAATACGTTGTGTGTATTAAACAATATTAATTAAATGGAATTGTCACATTTTCATGTCTTCAACCTTTTAACAAGATTTTATTTCTAATAAATCTTCATTGTTAAAGTAAAGACTCATTCGCCAAAGCATCGAAATAACCCTCTATTCGAAATAAGCGATGAGGTAGTTACCGATTAATCTAATCAAATCTGGGACTACAATAGATAAGAAAGTAATTAGTCATTGTAACATGGTTTATAGTCTTAGTGAAATAGTTTTATATTATCAGTGTTATTAGGCTGCTTTTCTCAAGATTAGAATAAATCACTAATAATATACTAATTAACTTATATTTGCTTTTATTACTGAAATATAAATCCGAAATACAAAAACAATAATCTTACTAGTCAAAGTTTATGTTTGTAATAATTATGGAAGATTATGGAATTATGGAAGAGATCGACTTCGTCAACTCTGTGACGTTTTGATTCCACATGTGTACTATTGGGTTCAGATTTCATACATTTTTATATATTAGAGCAAATAATTGTTTTTTATATGCTTAAATAGCTACAAACAGAGTTTAGAATCGTCAACATAATATTGTACTCAGCGGCCAATGGTATCTGTGTGATCACGCCTGAAGCATTTGAGTTCGACTTGTAAAGTCGCAATTACATTTTTGGATTCAATGCTGGATTTGATCAACATTCGAAATTCTTTGTTTACTTTTATTTTTCATATACCAAACTAGTGTCCTTTAAACAGTTGTAACACAATAATTTGTGTTGACACTTTATCATTCGAATATTACTACTTTAAGAATGTAATATATAGAATATTCATAGAATTAGCCAAGAAATGGGCCAGGAAGGCACATTCGAAGAATTGGTCTTTATTAAAACTGATACAAAACAAAAGTCGTCGAATCGTGGACCTGTTATTAACTATCGTCTATCGTCATCGACTATGACCATCACCCTGTCAGAGCTTTTTCTTTGTTATAAAGTATTAATTCGGGCATTAGGGGAATGGTTGTTTGATAATGTTTCGTGATATACTGAATGACTAATAATATGACATACTATTTAGTAATAGAAAAGACTCTAATTATTTTGTTTGATTCTAATTTATGCACTTTCTCGTATTAAAGCACTTTAATTAGTTTCCCATTCCATTTATAATCTGTATATTGTTGTAACACCATCATCAATGTAATACAAAGTGCATAACTGCGTGGTTAGCTTTACTATATGATTATAGTTACCACATGGATATTTTTACCAAATGGTTAGGACCACCATGTGGTTAGAATGCTTTTGTTTTTGAGCTTAAAAAACGTAAAAATTTCTTAAGACATAGAAAATTAATTGGAACCACTGTCTAACAAAAAATAAAGAAAAGAATTTGAAATGTGTACAAACCTAATTCGCGTTGTATAATATTTAAGCAACAAATATAATGTATCTATCATAGAGGATACCTAAATATTACAAACAATATTATATATTAAATAATACTTTTTCTGGAAGGCACGCATTCATCAAAAATATTTTGACCACTCATTTGAAAAATTTCTGTCCTTAAATATAATATGTAATAAGGTCATATTTAAGACCCATTTATATTATATTTCTTTCTTTTATAAAGTATTATTTTAGGTATCAATCCAATGAATAATAAAATCAATATTATAATTAGGATAAAAATATTATCCAAAAACAAGATAGACCATAACATCATAACAGAGTGACTAAAATGTAAAGGAAAATACATATACCTTCTGCTCAAAAAGTGTCCGTTTTTTGTTGTTTGTTAGCTACTCCTTAAGTAATAGACCCTTTCCAAAAATTTTTTTTTTGTTATTTTGGTACACTCTTTCTTGACATATGGTACATGTCAAGTAGTTTATTTACAACAGCTGTTAATGTGAGAATTTTCAAAAAACTAGATAGACCCCCTAACATCATAACAGAGTGACTTAAATGTAAAGGAAAATACATATATATCGGGTCAATGGTTAGAAGTTCAATGAATATTATAATTAGAATAAAAATATTATCCAAAAACAAGATAGACCCCCTAACATCATAACAGAGTGACTTAAATGTAAAGGAAAATACATATATATATGGGTCAATGATTAGAAGGTCAATAAATATTATAATTAGGATAAAAATATTATCCAAAAACAAGATAGAACCCCCTAACATCATAACAGAGTGACTTAAACGTAAAGGAAAATACATATATAACTGGTCAATGGTTAGAAGTAAGGTTAGGTTCTATAAGATACCTTAAGGAAATACTAATACAATAAAAATAAGAATTTTAAATACAATATAATCTGAAGATAATTTTAAATAAATAATAAACAAACAATAAAATTATTTATTGGAAATGTATGTTTTTCAAAATTATTTACAAATTTAAGTATTATAATTGTAAAGGGAGCAAATGCTTTTATGAGTAATTACACTTGTTTTTTGTATAATGTATACACATTTTTTTTGTTTTTTGCAGAAATGACTTTAAGTAATTACACAGGCTTGTTGTATTGCAATTATAAATGCACTAAGAAATTTAATTACACTAAAGAGAAATATACAACTTCGACTGCAGCGGTTGCAAGCGTCGCGACGCACAATTTAAATGACGTTAAAACGCATAATTAATATTACACTTGTGAGCAAAATGTATTTGTTGTTGTATAAAATATATTTAAAAAGCAAAAAATAATTAATTTTTGTGAAAGATGCCACATTAAATGCCTTCCCCCGTAAATATGTCGTATTTAATTAATTTTTATTAATTGTTAACCTAATTCGTGGTTTCACGTGTTGTATGTAAATTTCCACATGCACCAACTACCTACCCATAGCTTATCCTTATTAATATTTAAAGGAAGCTTTTAAAAGGACTTACCTCTACTTTAAATGTGTTGTGTTTGTGTGAAAATTTTGTAGAGATAATTGCATTTACCAGTAAATCGTGTAAGTTTAAGCTTCAAGTGAACATGTTTTCTGCTTCATAATGCCTACACAACTTAATGAAAAGTATTTTTGACGTAAAGAAATTCATAGGGGAGGAACTTCATTTAAAGTACAAACTCCAAACATTTTTGTCAGTTTAAGGAAATTACTTTTATTTAAATTTGACCAGCATTTCTCACAATTTCTGTGCAATTAAGACGTAGCAGCGAGGCGATAACTTCTCATTAAAAATCTTCTCGTAACGTACGTTAATTTTTAAGCCCTGCTCTGCAGCTTCTTCCTCTAGGTAACATAAACGGTCATAGAGCACGATATTCTCACAAAGTTTCTAAAAAAAAAAATAAATTAAATAAAAAATAATTTAAAGTAAGTTAAAGTTTAAAATATCATAAATAATAGAAATACAAAAATATTTATTAAAATTATTTTCGAAAACTGACAAGCTTACCAACACCGCGTTATCGAATCTCAGAATGATTACAGGCTCCCCGGAAAGGTGTGCAGATCTGAGGTAAGTTATTGCTTAGTCTGATGAAGTGATAAACAATAATCCAGTCAAGGCGTAGAGAAGAGTTATGAAGAAACCTATCAGTTAATAGAGAGTAAAAGTGCTCAAGTGCACTGACTGAACTAGCCTCAATATCATAATATAATAAATCTTTTTTTTTAAACAGAGTAGATGTAAGTATAGATGTTAATACAAAACAGTATTACCAAATTACAAAACAAAAGTTCTAATGGTATCTTCTACTTGTATTTTTTAAATTATTCATTGCGGATACTTTATTTATATATTATTTTGTGACCAAACAATTTTAATGAAGTGTTTTTTCAGGCTAATTTGTCAAACCTTTTTGTTGTTATTAAAAAATAAAAATAAAAAAAAACACAAAGAAAACCCAATTTAATTTTACCATAACTTTTTATTTACTTGATTTTTCGAGTAAATAAAAAAGTAAAAAAGTAAATAAAATTTTTAGAATAGTCATTTCTAATACCTGAAGCAACTCATCATCATAAACAAACATATTGTTCTATTAATAATTATATGTGATTATTTAATAACCATTATTTAATAATAATTTATGTAAAGGATATTAAAATTTTCGCAAAATCAAATCAAAATATTTTTTACACAAGATTTGTTTATTAAATAAGAGTATATAATTCAATCTTGTAACCAATTATCTGGTAAATAATAAATATATAAAGAGTTTTCTCACCTGTAATGTTGTTTGAAGACATGTAAGACCTTCGGCTAATTTATGACCGTTTGGATACTTTTCAATAATTTCATTAAATTTATGTTCATGAGTGTGGTTCCATTCAAGCGACTTATTTGTTTCCTTAAGCTGTACCACGAAATTCTTTGTAAAATCATTAAACTTATAATTATCATTATGTTTATTCTTTTTCTTCAGTTTTATAATTTTTTCCGATCCATCAGGATTGAGTATAGCTTCTGCTACGGCTCTTTCGAACATTTCAATAGCATGTACAGAATGCTCCAGCTCAGTACATTGTCTCCATCTCTCTCCAGTTTGTTGACATGCTAAACGTAAGAATGGTCTATTCAAAATTTGTGAAAATCTTGTGTTCATTTTAACCTCAGATTTAAGTGTTTTACTAAGAGGAAAATTTGTAAATGTTGTAGACGTATTCATTTGCATTTTATGGTAACAACACGGCATTATAATTAAACTTTTAACTTCGCTCATTTGTAAAAAAAGTTTAATAGATGTTATAGTAAGATCTCCACATGCATGTAAACCAATAATTGCCATTTTTATCGGTTCTACCAGCTCATTTCTCCGAATTATTTCTTGTGTTTCCATTTCTATAAAATTTTTAGATTCACATGTTATAGTCTCTTGTTTATAGCTGATCGTATCTAATGTATTAAACATAAACTCCAACTGTCGCTTTTTCGCCTCATCTACACGACAATTATCGGACTCCAATCCCAGCATATGAATATCCTTTTTTAAGACGCTCACAATTTCACTTAAATAACCTAAGCCTGACCCAAAATCAATAATTATACGATAATCATCACATAAGGTAGTTATTAAATGTCCTAGTCTTAATATTTCATGTTGTTTCTTTAAATTGACTTTACGAAATTTAGTTTTTATATGTGCAAATGTTATATCTGGATAACATGGATTTGAAAAACTTTCTTCTGGAATGAGTCTTTTAAGACGTTTACGAAAATTTTGTATGCTTTCTTGTTCTATCGCTGGACTTGTGTGATGAACAAATGGAAAAATGTTTAAATCATTAGTATTTATATGTAGAAAATATTTCACAAATTCTTTTGGAAATATTTCCAATATTCCGTCTTTTATAAAGCAAGTGTTAGCACTTTCGTAAATCCATGAATATTCGGAAAGAAATTCTAATGAGCTTTTGAAGTATGCTTGGGGGCTTGTATATGTCGCAGGCAACATTATAACTAAAATAATATAAACAATTTATAAAATATATATATCGTTATATATTAATGTAATATAAATGTTCACAATCACTTTAAATAGATAAAATCAAGTATTTCGGTAATAACAGATCTAGTAAATCTGATCTACACTAAAACATTTTATGATTTTCAAACAATCATTGTTGAAAATACAATCCAAAACAAAAATTATTTACAATAGCACAATAACATTAATTTAAATTATTTAATTTGATTTCTTTTTACAGTACTCGAAATAGACAATAGTAAGATCAATTCAAGTCTTACAATAGTCGAAACATTTAATATCATTGAACAAAATAAAACGACATACTACAAATATAGTTGATATTTTGTGCGATGAGGATATCGGTAAACATAAGGATAACAGATGAGGATAAAAATACGAAATTCACTAACACAGATTAAAACCGAATCATCACATTGATCGTGAATTGAATCTCAACTTTTTTTAGTGAAGGACGATTCTCTATCACTTCAGACTATTTTAAAAACGATATTAATTTAAGAATACTTAGCAAATACCAAACGATTATATTATTACGTTTTTTTTGTGCTGACACACATAGTCCATAAACATCCCAATATATCCCTACAATTATATGTAATAAAAGTTTCCAGTTTACTAAATCAGATTATTACCTGAATCGTGAATAGAAATCTTAACTTTTTCTAGGTAGAAACTCAGTTCTCCTCTTTCACCTTAGACTATATTGAAAACAATAATAATTTAAGAATATTTAACAAATAGAATATTTATTTAATTACGACTCTTATGTGCCAACATAGATTAAGAATAATTTATGCAAATTATTACTTTTGTTTGATTATATTAAATAATTAAAACTTAAACAGCTCATGTCATCATTTTTTAATCTTTACTATCTACACACATTTTAACAGTTCAATAACATATTTTCGTTCTAATATTTATCAGTACAGCTATTTTTTTACATAATTTCTTAAAAATATATTTATTATATAACAATTTTTAGCGAAAAAAAATTATACTATAGTTTTCCATTTCAAATTTGTTTCAGTTTCCAATGCCTTATTTTCCGGTCCCAATAAGCATTTACCATAGTATGCTGGCTCAGCCTTGAAATATCTTTCAGCGACATCTTTCAATTCCTTGAGTGTTACTGACAACATTCGGTTACGATACTTAAGGAACATTTCTTGGGACACACCATACAAGAAAAAGTCGATGCCCACATTTCCAGGTGCCACTGGCGCATCTAATTGCTGTAATACTCCTAATTTCGCTTCAAATAATGCCTGTTCGGTTACTTGCTCATTATGCTCCTGCAACCATTTATACGTATTATCAAATGCTTCAAGAGTCTTAGTGGAATTTGGATCACGGTAGCTAAA